TCCAGTTGAGTGAACAGGTTAAAGTTTTTGGTGTAGGTTTCATTTCCAAGTAACTATAAGCCCTATGTTGACCAAACTTGCATGGATGATACATCTAAGGATGCATACTACCGGGCTTGTTTCGGATGCTGAATCTGACCTACATTTTCCGGTTGAGTGAACAGGTTAAAGTTTTTGGTGCAGGTTTCATCTCCAAGTAACTATAAGCCCTATGTTGACCAAACTTGCATGGATGATACATCTAAGGATGCATACTACCGGGCTTGCTTCGGATGCTGAATCTGACCTACATTTTCCAGATGAGTGAACAGGTTAAAGTTTTTGGTGCAGGTTTCATTTCAAAGTAACTATAAGCCCTATGTTGACCAATCTTGCATGGATCATACATCTAAGGATGCATACTACCGGGCTTGCTTCGGATGCTGAATCTGACCTCATTTTCCGGTTGAGTGAACAGGTTAATGTTTTTTGGTGTAGGTTTCATTTCCAAGTAACTATAAGCCCTATGTTGACCAAACTTGCATGGATGATACATCTAAGGATGCATACTCCGGGGCTTGTTTCGGATGCTGAATCTGACCTACATTTTCCGGTTGAGTGAACAGGTTAAAGTTTTTGGTGCAGGTTTCATCTCCAAGTAACTATAAGCCCTATGTTGACCAAACTTGCATGGATGATACATCTAAGGATACATACTACCGGGCTTGCTTCGGATGCTGAATCTGACCTACATTTTCCAGATGAGTGAACAGGTTAAAGTTTTTGGTGCAGGTTTCATTTCAAAGTAACTATAAGCCCTATGTTGACCAAACTTGCATGGATGATACATCTAAGGATGCATACTACCGGGCTTGCTTCGGATGCTGAATCTGACCTACATTTTCCAGTTGAGCGAACAGGTTAATGTTTTTGGTGCAGGTTTCATTTGCAAGTAACTTTAAGCCCTATGTTGACCAAACTTGCATGGATGATACATCTAAGGATGCACACTACCAGGCTTGCTTCGGATGCTGAATCTGACCTACATTTTCCGGTTGAGTGAATAGTTAAAAGTTTTTGGTGCAGGTTTCATTTCCAAGGAACTATGAGTTCTTTAATGACCAATCTTGCATAGATGATACATCTAAGGATACATACTTCCAGGCTTGCTTCGGATGCTGAATCTGACCTACTTTTTGTGGATGAGTGAAAATGTTAGTTTTGATGCATGTTTCATTTCCAATAAACTATGAGCCCTATAATGAGCAAACTTGCATGGATGATACATCTAAGGATGCACACTAATGGACTTGCTTTGGATGCTGAATTGGACATACATTTTTCAGATAATAGACAAGGTAAAAGTTATGGTTGCAGGTCTATTACCAAAAACTATAAGGCTTATATAACATTGTATAAACCAAACTTGCACAAATGCTGCATCAAGAGATGAAAACTCTCAAATTTGCTTCAGATGCTGGATTTTCATTACATTTTCATGAAGATGAAGTAGTTTAAATTTTTTATGTAGGTCTATTTCAAAGTATCAGATCAAAATTGCTTTTAAAAATATTTTCATTTTTGGAATGTATACTTTTTGTTGGTTAATTGTGTGACTTTGCCTTACTTAAAGACAACATTCGTTGAGGTGAGCTCTGTAATCTCTGATTACCTATGTTTCCTATAGAAGTGACATATACCCGGTATTTCCTTGTGTTATGATGTGACACTAGCAGTGATAGACACTTGCATTTTTAGCAGTGATAGACACTTGCATTTTAAGCAATGATAGACACTTGCATTTCTAACAGTGATGTGACACTTGCATTTTTAGCTGTGATAGACACTTGCATTTCTAGCAGTGATGTGACACTTGCATTTTTAGCAGTGATAGACACTTGCATTGTTAGCAGTGATGTGACACTTGCATTGTTAGCAGTGATGTGGCACTTGCATTGTTAGCAGTGATGTGACACTTGCATTTTCAACAGATTCAACAGAATTGTATAAACTTAACACCGATTCAACAGTGATACCCGTTCTCGGGAAATTTGACCATGTTTCCTTCATTTGTTCTATAGATGTTACATATTCTGTGATGTTTTGATGTGACAAGTGCATTTAATTGTTTTTATTTCTTTTTTTAGTTTGTCCTTGTAAATTAAATTTATATAAATTATCTTGCATTTGTTTTTTTATTTTTACCAATAAAAAAAGGATGAGACTGATAACAAATACTGAAACTTTAACAAATATCCGTGTAACGGGGTACTCGATCGGAAGATGAAGCGAGTAACCGGTTACTAAAAATCGTCCAATTTGCCAACACTAAAAAAAAAACAAACTGGAACCTGACAAAATGGTCATTTTGTTGCGTGGATATAACCAACAGTCTGTTGGAATCCAAAGTATTCAACATGGTAAAAGATTTAGAATGCAGACGTTGAAGGACTATAGGAGAAAACATATGAGTATTTGTGGTGGGAGCATTGAAGTCCACTCTAGATGTCTTGTTGTTAATCCAAAGTGGGTTAAGTGAGGTTGGCTTTGTTACTTACTAGCTGTGGTGAGGGTATAGTGGAAGTTAAATATCCATATGGCTCAAACAACAGTGAACGTCCATGGCGAAATATGACCCCAAAAGAATGTGCTAAGGACCAGTCCTTTTTTGTACAATTTCTGATGATTCATTAAATTTCACCAAATCAGATCCTGATCAAAATCCAAAACATTGAAAACATACAAACATCTCTATTTTTTATTTTTTAATTAGAATTGAAAAAGAATTAAGTATATCATAAAACTTCACAGTTAAAATAAAAATCAAAGTTTAGAAAAAAGATTTGACATATAATTGCAAAAAAAATCCACAAAAAAAAAACAAAAATATAAAACATAAAACAAATCAGTAATAATCACAATATTACATAAAAAGATTTTTTAATTAGAATTGAAAAAGAATTAACTATAACAACAATCTAAATTATCAATGGCTCACAGTTAAAATAAAAATCAAAGTTTAGAAAAAAGATTTGACATATAATTGCACAGTTTAATATTTATTGAAATCCAATATCTGACTGTAAAAAAGAGAGAAATATCTCTTAAATTATACTTATCTACAGTTCATAAAAATGAACTAATACTGTAATACCTAATCCTCAATGTACAAATAATATAACTGATTTCTGGATTTATTTTCAAAGAAATTATTTTAAGAAGATATATCTGGAAAGTTAATTGTCTATAGATATGCATCAGTGTAAGCAAAAGTTGACATCACATCAAAAAACATCGTGATGATGGCACACACATGCAAAAAATATTTAATTTGGCACCAATTAATAAAAATCACAGTATTTACATAAATTGAGTATTCATTGAAAGGTAAAAATGATAAATGATTTTAACAAATCAGATATGAAAGCATAATTACATTGAAATGGTGTTAAGTCTCTACTTAATATACATCAAGTCCTACACTATTTCTTCTTCTTGCACCCTTTTAACTTAATCTTATCCTCAATGTATTAACTTAGAATGTGTGAACTACTTTCTAATTTTCAATATTGTGTGCACATGAAATGATACATTTTACACATCAAATCATACACTATTTCTACATCTGTACTTCACAAAGATATCTGAACTACTTTCTAATTTTCCATATTTGAATATATTTACCCATCAAATCCTAGTCTATTTCTTCTCCTGTACCTTTCTAACTCAATCCTATCCTCAATGTAATAACTCAGAAAATCTGAACTATTTTGGACATGCAATTTACGATATTTGCGATAACATGAAATGATACATACAGAGATGATACATAGAAAGACGATACATGAAGATGCTGAAAGAGAAAAGAATAGTGGTATAAAAGTGCAATGCAAAGCTAAAGCAATAGAGATACATTCATTATTGCACTGTGAAATAAAGCAACAGTATTACAGACTTTTACAGCATTGTGCATACACTATATACATGCATAAAGTTAATCAATAGTGACATGCCAGGGGTGAACAAATATGCAGTGGCAAAAGTGTCTCAGTAGACATATTCATCAAAGCCATATAGAACTGGTTTCTTTCTCTCCCTTGGTGGCAATACTTTTCTAGTAATAATTTCTTTAGTATGTTTTGCTTTTCTTTTTCTTTGGCATTTTTTCTTCATAATAAATCCTAATAATTTTTTCATAGATTTTTTGATAAACAAAGTTGCATCTTGCAGGAGATTGTATATCTCTATCACTTTCCTTTTTATGATCACTATTTCTTTACATAGAAATGTGAGTAATCCAATTAAGCCTAGAAAATTAAGAGGAAAAAAAATGTTCAAAGAATAGAATCTTCTTGTAAGATTTCTTCTTCAGCGGCGTCATAAAATATTTCATGATCAGTATTTATATTCCCCCTTAATCTTGATTTTTGGCATTTCCAAATGAGAAAGATGAAACAGCTTATGCAGGAAGATGCGGATAAGCAAGTAGAAATAACTACAAGAAAAACATTCATTTTTCAAGCAATTCAAATTTTAAAATTGAGATCCAAAATTGCAGAAATGATAAAGCACTATTATATGAGCATCTATTACTCATGTATCAACCATAGATAGTATTTATTGATGTATGGATTTTAATTTCATAAAATTAAGCAAAAATGAAAGTGTTTCGTTGAAGATCACTAAATAATAAATTCAAGCTTCAGTGAAATAAAGAATTATAATTCTATAGTAGATGATTTTTAAATTCTCCACCGCAATTGATTCTCAGTGTTTGACACTTGACAGCGGACTCAAATATTTTTTTTATTGCATTTAATATGTCTATTGCTGTCTTTTGCTTCAATGCTACAATCAAAGAATGTGAGTTACTTTTGAATTGCTCATGCAGATATTATCATTGTAGTTAGATTTTCAAATATTATTCAGAATCCATAATTTTGAAGGATTAGTAAAAGATTGAAGAGTTTCGAAATAATTCACATTGTTATCTAGGTGTATTTAGAAAGATGCATATAGATTTATAAATAAATATACTTACTGATTAAGATAGTACTTAAACTCAAGTTACTGTTGCTGCCGTCATCCACTGATGGTGGAGTTGTTAATTCAGGATTCTACAATGAAAGTGAAATATTGAAACAAATATAAGCATTCATTGAAAATTTTTTTGTCAAAATTATGCATGCTATAAACAATGCATTGAATGTCAAATGCAAATTACTACTTTGTGATAATTAGTTTATCACTTACAAGAACTGGTGTAGGGGATGCATCAGTTGTGGAGGATCTTCGAACCTGCTGAAACAAATGTACATATTTTTAAAGCGATGAAGCTGAGTCCTGCTGATACTTGACTTTCTCATTTTAATCAGGTTGTAAACAATGCATTGAATAGCATATCTAAAATATTATTTTCAGATAGTAAGAATGGTGATAAGTTTATTATTTACATGAGTTGAAGTAGGGAGAAAATCATGTGTGGAGGACTGAGGCCGAGAAGCACTGTCACCCTGCTGAAATGATGATAAGTAACATATGTATGAACAACAAATTTTCAATAGGGAGTCAAGTGATTCCTGAAGATTGACACCTTTTACAAATTTTAGCAGCTTGTAAACAATGCATTGAATAGCATATGCAAAATACTATTTTTGTAATAGTCAGAAATTGAGATACCTTTATTACTTACATGTTATAAAGTGAGGAAGTTAGTGCTGCAGATGCATGAAAGAGGATTGCATTAATAATCAAAAGTCAGAAATTGAGGTATGTTTATTACTTACATGTGTTATAGTGCGGGGGGATGCATCAGCTGTGGAGGGCTGAAATGAAATTAAGTAACACAATTACAAGTACATTCACATATTATATAGTGAGGAAGTTAGTGCTGCAGATGCATGAAAGAGGATTGCATTAATAATCAAAAGTCAGAAATTGAGGTATGTTTATTACTTACATGTGTTATAGTGCGGGGGGATGCATCAGCTGTGGAAGGCTGAAATGAAATTAAGTAACACAATTACAAGTACATTCACATATCTTATAGTGAGCAAATTAGTGCTGCAGATGCCCCCCCCCCCCCCCAACACACACACACACACACACACACACACACACAGTACATTACTGTGGGCATGCACCACTCAGTGTATCCAATGTGAGATTACTAAAAGTTCACTTTTGTATCACCGTCCTCTTACCGTGCTTACAACAATTCATCGCTTCAAAGTTTGTTTTACAAAGATCGATTGAAATAAATAAATAAATACATATACTAACTTTTACACATTTAATGTCCTCTATGTACACGGTCACAGCTCTGTTTGATTTTATGTTGATGCTCTCACAGGATGGGGCATAATCAATATATACAACCTGCACTGACGTGTGGGTGAGATCCATTACTGCTCGTGCATCAAAGTAATCAAAATTCAAAGACCTTACGTCATCGGGTAGCCATCCTGAGTAAAACCCAGCACCATTCCATCTACATGTATTGTCATTACATACACTAAAATACTGCAACTTTGCAGCAGCGCAGGCTAATAGTAGCATCGATAAAATACAGTAAGACCGCATGGTCATGATGGTGTGCATCTTCTCCATCGCCGAATTGACTTGGTCTAATGTTATTGAATCTTGCACCCGAGCGATATATGTAAGAGCATAAGAGTTTATTAAATCATGTATATAGCACAATAATATTTCTTAGTTGATAATATAAAGAATGTTTAATATTTAAAAAAAAAATAAATAAATAAAAATAAATAAATAAATAAAAATAAAAATACGATCTTTTCCCAAACTTAGTCTTCAATCGTAACTAATCACCCATTTCCGTAATCGCTTACGGAAAACGACGAGTGTGATCCGAAGTCAAATGTTATTGAATCTTGAACCCGAGCGATATATGTAGAATAAAAAAAAAAATTCTTTGGATTACAGAGAATGTTTTACATTTATCTTTATTTTTATATTTCATAAAAAATATAAAAAAAAAAAAAAATATTCGGCTGTAGTATATATATTAAATAAATGGGATACTGTGATATTCAAAACGATTAAGGACATTGACTTTGCACTCATTATCAGGAGTAGTAAATATATCTATAAATTAGCAATTTTGATTGAAAGATTTCAAAAAACAAAAGTTGTTGTTCAAATCAAAGGGGAATTACTATGATTTATTCATGTATATTACTTATTGTTCTGAAAATATATAGAAAATCAAAACAATATTTAAATAAAATATATATGTTATTTATCTCATATACTTCATAAAACAAAAGACGATCTCTTCTTAGTGATTGATTACTTTTGACTAATTTTGGATGGGTTTGGAGGTAATCAGTTTGAAAACAATAGATTGTTTCTTTTAAGAAATGCTATATACATAAAACACTTCAGAAATATGAGTTATATCAAATCAGGGAGGAATTACTATGATTTATTTATGTATATATTAATTATTATTGTAAAAATATGTGGGAATCAAAACAATATTTAAATAAAAAAGTTGTTTTTTATCTCAAATACTTCAAAAACAAAAGACGATCTCTTCCTAGTGATTGATTACTTTTGATTAATTGATGGGTGTGGGGGTAATCAAGAGTCCAGAGTTTAAAAACAATAGATGGTTTCTTTTGAGAAATACTATATATATAAACACACATCAGAAGTACGAATTATAGTTCCTCCAGAAAAACTTAGAAGATAAAAGTTTCATTAAAACGAGTGATATGGCAGCCGCAGAAGTTCGTTTTGATGTTGAGTTAGGCGGAGATGGAGAAATCCCGCAGTATGTTATCCGGGGAGGTGACAGCTACAGGAGGGGGCATTATGCCATCCAACTATCTTTTTTTCGGAGAAGAGTATACATACATTTACAAGGTATGTTTCTTTGTCTTTTTGTATGTGTCTGTGTTACTAGACTTGATTGTATACTTAGTTCATTTAGTATTTACAGCAGCGGTCCCATAATCTTTATATAGGATTTACCATTAAATTTGATTTTCAAGAGGGGGGGGGGTATTAATAATTATTATTTAACTGTTCAAAGGTTCCATTCTCAGTATCTGTCATAGACTCAACCTCCACACTCATCGATCTTAAATATTTGCAATTTTTAAAGCAACATCAATATCATATAATATCTTTTAATTACACTATGATTTTATTTTAACAGACAACAACAGGGGAAAGCAAGTTTCTTTCCCCGAGGATGTTTTCCTTGCAATGATGAGGATTGGCGAAGATTTGAAGGCCGCGATGGATCTTACAAGAAATTTGTCAGGACCTCCTAGTCCACCTATGGTGAGCATTCTCATTAGACACGTTGTATTGGGTGGGTAGGGGTTGTAAAGTATATTCATTAAAGTACAAAGTCGTCACAGTTAGTATATTACATCTTCTGTATAAAAGGAAATAAAACTTGAATATTTTTTTTTTTTTTCACATAACTATACCATGCAGAAAATTCACTTTACAGGTTCGTTTGCCACCGCTGAAGAGGGCTAAAGCGGCGGCGAGGAAGGTGATACTTAAGGATGATGACACAGATGAAGATGAAATTCTTGCAATATAAGAGGACTTTTCAGAAATCTGCACTTTATATAGCTGAGGACAATATTAGAATACTCAGAGTGCAGTGTTATCATGTAAAACAATTTATTTTATAATATGTTAATCAAGAGCATTACTAAAGAAACTTGTACAGTTTATAAAGTTGGGAGGATACTCTATAGTAATTACTGCATGTGTTTTTTTTATTTAATTTTTTTAATTTCATAAACATAAAACTTTAAAAAGATTAAAAATAAATTAAAATTCATAAGAGGGCTAAAGCGGCGGCGAGGAAGGTGATACTTAAGGATGATGACACAGATGAAGATGAAATTCTTGCAATATAAGAGGACTTTTTCAGAAATCTGCACTTTATATAGCTGAGGACAATATTAGAATACTCAGAGTGCAGTGTTATCATGTAAAACAATTTATTTTATAATATGTTAATCAAGAGCATTACTCGGAAACTTGTACAGTTTATAAAGTTGGGAGGATACTCTATAGTAATTACTGCATGTGTTTTTTTTTTTATTTAATTTTTTTAATTTCATAAACATAAAACTTTAAAAAGATTAAAAATAAATTAAAATTCAAGACGAAATTATCTGAACGATTTTTCATTATTTTCATTCATTTTTCAGGGGTAGGGGTTGGGGGTTTAACAATGTTCAAGTAGTAATAAAGAATCAAACGTTTGTATAAGATGTTGATGTTTATTTGGGAATAAATTATTCAGAAGTACTGATGTATTTCTTTTCAATTACTATAGTATGAATATATGCTCATACTAAATATTATTTTTCAGACATTACTATGATTTTATAATGTCCATAAGAGTAGCCTTCAACACCATGTGGCGGTAACCAATATCGTTTATCGTCAAATGGAGACAATGAAATTTTGTTGATAGCTTTCAGATACAAATCATGTTTTTCACTTCGTATAGAGTTCATGGTATGTCTTTCCAATTCACAGTGGTATAGACAGTCCACATAATTCTTATAAGCAAGTTCTTTGGAGACCACAGATTTAGAGATCCCTTTGGCTTTTTTCACTTCACCTCTTTTTCCATCGTCGATAGTAAACGAGTACATCTTTGGCCTTAAACCCGCAAAACCTATGATAGGAACACCTGTGTAATAGAAAATTAAGATAGTAATGATATTTAAACAGCTGCATATTTCCGGAAATGGAGAAGTCAAACAACTTACCTCCAGTTTCATCTTTCATTTTGCCAACCACCTTTTTGTTTTTTTCATTGAATAAGAAGTGATGTTTTGGATAGTTTGAGGTATCAAAAAGATCCATGTGTTGCTCTATCTCTTTGTACATATCCTCGACCTCGAACCTACAAATTAAACTTGAAACATAAATTGAATGTTCACCCCCACATTTCTCTTTCTTGGAAATCGGATGAAATTGCATGATAAAATACCTGTAAAAGAGAGAGTCTGTATCAGTCATCAACAATTTGGCTTTTTCTCGATATGTTGCTTTAATGAATTCATAATGGAACTGGTACATGAATAATTTGGAGAGGTCTAATATCGTCATACCAATGTAAATAGGCTTGTTAAGTAATAGTTTTACTTTCTTGTTTTTCACTCCGACGAGATGTGAATTGAAGATTGTGAACATCTCGAAGCTAGGTTTGCTGACAAGCTTTTGCAGTACCTTTTTCGTATGCACTAAATTGAAATTCAATCTATTTCGAATGTTCTCCATGGTTTTTCTGAAATAATAAATGACATACATTAATACATGTTTTAAAATATCAACAAATCAGTGATTTATCTAACAACTATAATTAGGGAGGCATTGACATGATGTTAGATAATTATTGAAAATTTAACGAATCACTAGAAATACTCTATTTAAGTAATATAACATATCAGATGTTCCCTTTACGTCAACTCACCCAAATACTATATTGTTATAGGCTTTGTAAAGGGACACCTCAAAGTCATTCTGCGCCTTTTGTCTCATTTTGGTGTTGTATTCTATGTATGGTTTAAGCCATGAAGATTGTGTAAAGCTTATGACTCGATGTATTTCTTTTAGCACCAATCCGTGAATGATGTAGAATTGCAAATTTCTGTAGTGAACAACATACTTTGTCTTTGTTCTAAGTGTTGGTACTAGCTTCTTTGAAATCTCCCCATTAATTTTATTTTTATGAAGTTTGTCAAATAGTTGACGACTGTATGGTGATAAATCGCTCACGTTAATGGATAACGACTCTGCCGCTAATGGGAGATCATTATGAAGATCGTGCAAATGATTTGGATAATCGAGTGTTACCTCTAGAATGTATCCCGTGTTAGCATCCTTTTTTACGTTCATGATGTCAAGTTTTGAAATCTCTTCTTCACACAGCCATTTGAAGTCTCCAAGAGGCAATGGTTCAAGCATTGCACCGCCATACAAATTATTCATATCGAAATAACCGAGGTAGACGTTCGGCTGCTCAGGATTGTAGCTTTCTTTGATATATGGATTGTTAGCCTCTGCATGACGCAAAGTCATCATAGACACACCTCCACGCACACCTTTTTCAATCATTTGATATTGTTCTAAGTCAGTTAGTAATTCTAGTTTAACACTTGTCATTTTTAGACATGCACTCCAGCACATGGCTGCTAGTGTGTAGTATTGCGCTGGATCTAACTCGAAACTTTTCATAGACACGCTTCTGAATCGTTCAAAGACGTCAGATAAAAGCAGCACATCGCACAACAGATACAAATCATGATACTCTCCCATTGTTTTTATATTCATATCTCTCCATACCTGTTGAGCATGTTCATAGTCTTCATTTGAAATATCGCATTTGCTTATGCTATTGAAGAATTCCGATTTTGGAGGTATCTTATCTGTCAAAAATTTTGTTGAATCAGTGATGAATGAATAGTAGAGTTGGGTATTGCGATGGAAATCCATATTGCGATATATTGCAATATTTTACTTTGAATATTGCAATATATCGCAATATATTGTAGATTAATTATCATTAATAAATTTGAGCAGAATGTTTGAAATGATGTCAAGTTCAAAGACTATTTGAATTTATCTTTAAGTTTAAAAGCAGGAGGAGGGATAAGACATTGATTGCACACCAAATTAACACTTTACTTTTTATCAAATTCCAGGTAAAATAGTAAAACAAGATGAACTCTCTTGGAGAATTTTCACATTGAAATAAAAATTTTTACAGATTATATAATCTT